CGGAACCTCTGACTCATCATTGCATACAAAATATATAAATTTTCGAATTTTATGCTAAGTACTTTATTAGAGTTTCAAAATGCTCTGTGATATATAATTTAGGACTTTTTATGAAAATACTTTCACACTAATAGAGTTTTTTTTAAAAAAAAACTCAGATTTATCAAAATATACAAACTTTTGCATCATTTTAGACTTTATTCCAATTTCAATATAATTTAATCAAAATTTTGTACAAAATTATTTTAATTTTTTCATTAAAAATCATATAATGATTATAAATATTTTTTTAAATCGCTTATTAATATTTTAATAATGTATATAATATTTTAATTCAATTGATTGTTAGCATTTTTAAGTGCATTTTAAAATTATAATTTAAAATTTTTAATTTTATCTCAACATGCAAAACTTTAGGCACTACCCTCGTATTGATTTACTTAAAGGCAACATTAGGGAATGGTTCTGCAGAAATTATTTTAGTTAATATACGTTTTTCATGTTCTTTTCTTCACTTCTTTCTCTTCTTATCAAAAATGAAGCAAATTCATTATAGTTTCTTAGTACGCAATTCCAGAGTTTTTTGTTTTGTGTACTTCTTTTTACACAGCAAAAACTTTCTTTATTTATTTTTCTTTTATTATTCATTTTATTTATTTTAGCTTTTTTTTTATTGTAAAAAATAATGTTAATTTTTTGTTTTTTTTTTTTTGGTGCACGTTATTCTTCAGAAATGCTAAAGCAACAAAACATTATGGATTTACTGCTTTTATGCCGACGGAACGTTATGCGGTGGAGTACAATATGAATCATAGGAACCGCGGTCAGGCTCTCATTTTCAATCATGAACATTTCGACATACCAAATCTGAAATCTCGTGCTGGCACAAATGTGGATTGCGACAATTTGCGTGAAGCTTTGGAATATTTGGATTTTGATGTATTAGTTTATAAGGACTGCAAACTTAATAATATATTCCACTACATTGATAAAGGTACATTTTCTTTGACTTATCATTTAAAACGACGTTTTACTCTATATACATACGTATATGTAATATTTCTAATTTATCTTATACTAGCTGCCTCAATGGATCATACAGATAATGATTGTATACTGATTGCTATCATGTCACACGGTGAGATGGGCTATATCTATGCTAAAGACGCACAGTACAAATTAGACTCTATTTCCCATTACTTTACCGCACAGAATTGTGCTACTTTGGCTGGTAAACCAAAGATATTTTTAATACAAGCTTGCCAAGGTGATCGTTTGGATGCTGGTGTTATGCTTCGCAAGACTGAAACAGATAGTGCATCAGGTGGAATGGACTATAAAATTCCTCTACATGCCGATTATCTATTTGCCTTCTCAACCATACCAGGTAAATGATTTGTTTCTTTAATATTCTTTAAAAAAGCGTAAAAGTACAGTACATCAAGTGTACATAATTATTAAAATAAGTAAGTGCTAGTTAACTGCACTAATTATTTAAAATAATAGGAAAAACATTTCTGTAAAAAGCGCACTGCAAAAACATTTTCAAGCTAAAAAATTAAATGCTTATTTGTGTATAAGTTAGGTTAGTTTAATCTCGCTAGCTGTGAACCTCCATATATAAGACTTATTGATCTCAAGCGATACTAGATAGAATAAAACCTCTATGCACATTTTTTTTTTGTAATAGGCATTTTGTGAATTTAAAATAATGCCTATAACTATATTCCTAAAACATAGACAGAGCAAGAATTTCATTAAATATTTTTTTGAAAGAGTGCTTTGAGGTCACAGCTTAATGAAATCTGAAATCAGATACTACTTTGGACTAGCCAAATTAAAGTGGCTAGGTTTCTCCACATTAATTCTGTTTGACTTCAATTTAAATCTCATCAAACCCCAACCCATCCTAAACAATCGCTTTCCTTCTCACATTGTCATCACCGATCCACATCCTAACCTATGTACACATACATTCTTGTAATTTCTTTCAAGTTATCTGCTTAATAGATCTTTACGGACTACAACAAAAATTGAGACGGTGTATTTCGTAGTACTATTACACACGGATCATGATTTTAGAACAATATTTTGTCAACACAAGCAGATTCTTGCAGACTATAACAACAATTACAATAGTTGAGGAAGATCTACCGCCACTAATATCAACTAACCACTTATTTTTGATGGATCTTAAGTTGATTAAGGCCCTTATTATTGGGCTCAATTTTTTTAATTAGCTAGTACAGAGTTTTTATTTAATAAAAGAAAAGAAATTGCAGATCTTTTAATTCTTAGAATAAAATATATTTTAAATGAAATGAAAAATAAGAACCTCTTTTGAATTAGAAGTGAGAGAGAGTTCTGTCGCCAGTAAAACTAAGTAACTATCAATAGAAATTAATGTATAGATATATTGGGGAAAATGTTCTATAAAATTGTACGAGAAGTTAGAAAGATAAATGGAATCAAGTTATTTATATTATAATATAATGTTATATATTATAATATAATGTTATATATTATAATATATTATAATATAATGTTATATATTATAATATATTATAATATAATGTTATATATTATAATATATTATAATATAATGTTATATATTATAATATATTATAATATAATGTTATATATTATAATATATTATAATATAATGTTATATATTATAATATATTATAATATAATGTTATATATTATAATATATTATAATATAATGTTATATATTATAATATATTATAATATAATGTTATATATTATAATATATTATAATATAATGTTATATATTATAATATATTATAATATAATGTTATATATTATAATATATTATAATATACTTTTACTTTTTGATAGCTGGGGGTACTACAGGGTCCACCCATCTCATTGACTAATTTATGTATTGCCTATAAGCTTCATGATTATTCAGTGATTGATATAAGATCTGCGTACCTCCCCATGCGGAGAGTGATTACTCTAAGATTAGATAGTGGTAAGTAGGATAGCCTGTCAATTTTCGCATATAACTTCAGGGCTCTGTCCCTTATGTATTTTTTAATCGGGTCTATTCTATTTATGTTTTATACTATAATATAATGTTATATATAAAAATATTGAGAAAAATTATGTTTAAAATGTAATAGTTTTGATTCGTAAAATTATTGATTATACATTGCATAGTTAACAGTTTATTGCTAGTGAATTTATTGTTCTCAATATGGAATTTCCATATCATTGAGTCATAAAATTTTTAATTCCAACAAAGTATATTTTTAGCTATTAATTATTGTTAATTTTCACAAAATTAAAAAACAAGTTTAGAAGCTTTACTATTTCTCATTGTAAAATCTAGTGTCAATGAAGTGGAAGTTACTCATAACTACTACTAGAACTAACTTAATCTAAAAATACAATCAACTCTCCAAACTAACAAAGACTAACTGCTGCACTTACATATATATATATATATATATTTACGAATAATGCAAATAATAATTAAATTATATATTTGTAGGTTTCTATTCGTGGCGTAATACCACAAACGGTTCATGGTTCATGCAATCCCTGGTAAAGGAAATCAAGGAGAATGGTAAAAAGCTGGACATGTTAACATTACTGACATTCGTAAATCAGCGTGTGGCTGTTGACTTTGAGTCGTGTGTGCCGGACAGTCCCATAATGCACCAACAGAAGCAAATCCCCTGCGTCACAACCATGTTAACGCGCATATTGCGTTTTTCAGACAAAAAATAGTTAAAGAGTACTTAACTTAAATTTTAGTAATTAAAGCAGTTTAGATAAAAAAAAAACAAAAAATAAAAACAAATTATATAAGTATATCAACAACACAAAATTCATAATAATCTATAATATGACTAATAATATTGATTAAAAACTGAAGTAGACTATATATATATATATAAATTTTATTGATAAGAGCACTTATTTTTTTATCAATGTAAATCTAAAGTAAATTCATGAAATTTATAGATATTTTTTGTTATTTAAAAATGAAGTTATTTTTGTACGAAATGTAACAATTGTACAAAGAGCACTTATAATTAATTAATCATTATTATAGTAATATATTATATGCAATTGTTATTATTATTTTTCTCAATTTTTAGTCATTTCTAAAACGTTCAATTTGCATTAAAAATTTTGGTATTATAATTTGATAAAAAAAAAAAAATCATATATATGTATATATATATATAATATATACTTATATATATATAAGTATATATATTATATTGTTTTGATAAGGTGAATATTTCAACTGAATTGTTTGTATTTTGGCAAAATAATAATTTATTTGCTTCCTCAATTATATTTAAAATATTAAAAAACACAAGACTTAAGAAGAACTAATACACATTGCCATATTAAAGTGTATTTAAAAATATTTCATAACATTAATTTAAATATCAACAATGAGAATGTGAATTCAAATAAAAGTACAATTTTTCAAATCAATTAATTTTTATCAAATTTTTTATCAAATCTTATCTGTAAATGAAACTCTACTCAAGTACTGCAAAAGAAAAAAATTATAAACTTTAATCCCACCGAACTATATTTTTCTCTGAAAACTGTGCTATTAAACGTGACCAAATTAATTATATATTTTTTTTGTTTTGTTTGTTATAAAATATTATATCAAGTTTATTGCAAACAATAACGAAAATCGATAGGTGTTAAGTAGAATAAACACTTAGTAACAAAGCAGAGATATGAGAAAGGTTTATTGAACTATATATATTATTCATATATTTGTATTATAATTTTAATTGAATATAGACTATTCACTACTGTTCGAAAAACATCTTTAATATAGATATTAATAATAGTTTCTATTCAGTAAGTAGTTACTTTCGACATAACTAGGTTAGGTTAAGTTATACCGGCGATCCCTAAGGGATCCATTGGCTCATTATAAAACCTCATTATGAACCGAACATATAAAAATAAGTGAGGTTTTAAATTGACTCATTATAAATCCTCATTATAAACCGTACATATAAGTGAGGTTTTAAAACCACCTAGAACTTTTGGCGAATCCTAAAATGCTATATAATGTCAGTTCTTGTAATTGGTCAAGATCCTCAAGAAAGGAAGTTCCTTAAGTGTTAATTCGTTGCCGTGCATGAGCTGGGCAAAAACATAGTAGATGAGAGCCACTCGTATCCTCTACCCCACAGCTGCGTTAGGCTTGATAGAAAGGGAGATTTAATCTTCTAGCATAGTTCTCTAATTTGCAGTGATCCGTAAGTAAACCTAAAACCCATATCTCTACGAGGCAACTCAATGATAATAACTAAGTTTAAAATAAAATTTAAAATAGAACTATAATGAAAATATGTACCCGATTATTAATGGGCTCAGATCGTTTATTTAACACATAAAATTATAAAAAATGTCGTATACAATATTCCATGGAAGAGGAAGTGATGGGTCTAATATATGCCAGCAGGTATATGTTGATATAAGCAAAAAATAAACTTCAACTAAGAGTAAATCAACTGCCAATGATCAAAAGACAGCATTAGTGACCCATTGCTCTATAATGAAACACACTCGAAATTTTAAAGAAATAGAGATCATCATCAAAGGACCAAATTAAAGACGTAGACTAATGTTGGATGTGTTACACATAATTTATATTCCGGACAATCAGAGACATAACTACAAAGTAAGCACAGAGGGTCTTGCACAAATCTACAGGTGATAAACTAGATACTATCAAAAATTACATTTTTTTGCAAAAATATCTCGGGAACTCACTACAACGTCGAACTTTAACAACTGTTTAAGAGTTTTCTAAAAAAAATATCACATAAGACCGGATAAGGTCTTATGTAGGGTCGAATAAATTGATCAAGCTGAGTAAAAGTACACTTTATAATGGTATTTTAAAGCAAAATAATATATTATCATGTTTGGGATCAAGGAACGCTTGAAGTTGTCAGAGCAAACTTAAGAATTAATAACATTCGAAGCTACGACATTCAGATCATTGTATAGTGTATTTTACAGAAGCTTTTTTAAAGGAAGTCTGAACCATACCGGGTTGTTATATATGACAATGATGATAACATCTAAAACTTAATACAAGTGACCATTACAGGAAGTAAATCTTGTGTTAAAATAAATCTATATTAATTTCTAGGACTTAAGAAGCACGAAGTAGTAGTAAAAGAAGATCTACTTTCAAATTTCATCTTTATCTCATTAATTGATCAACATGAATTAATTATAGTCCCAACATTGATATAAGTTTATGCAATAGGCTTCATTGGCTCCTTGACAAACCATGCCTTGGGTGTAATAAGTAGGTTGCGGAAACACCATCGCACTTGATGTATGAGACGCTTAAGTAGTAGAGATGGTAGAAAAAAGCTAGACAAAGGATTACTAACGACATCTAAGTAAGTAATTCAATATATGCCGGTACAAATTTATTATAATTTAACAATTTTATCCTGTAATGGTCAAAATGGTGTTGGTAATTATATAATAAATTTTGAAGAGACGATTATAGATACTCTCAGTATAACATCCTCCAAGGAATATGAAGCAATTAACAGTAGCAAAAAGATCAATAATTTGTTACAGAAGGTAGTGGAACCTTCAAATATTTAATATCAGCGTATAAGCCGTGGTGCAAAATGGACTCTTATATATTGATGCATAAGGGATACAGTTTCAACAGGGTTTGCCTAGGAACATAGATAGAATAGTTACCAATAATATATATATAATATTAGAAAAATTAGAAGACAATAAATATATTTAAGGCATACGACACTTACATAGAATTTGAAAATACCCAGAATTAAGAAGTAGAACCACGTCCAAATATTTTGATGAATAAAAGCATTTATATGGGATGTCAGAACAAGAATACCAATTCCATATATATTGAGTTTTTGAACTCTACTGCCATTTCTACTACTGCCATTTCTGAATGACACACACATTACCATGCATCCTGAAGGAACTACTATAACAAAAAACGTTCATTTTCAAACTATATATAAAATAAATAATTAAAATATAAAACTTTCTTCACGCAATGTCGACATACGTCATTTGGTCAATAAACGATGAGGACGCCTTTCGCCGCATATGAAGTCTTAAAAATTGCAAAAACAAAAACGTCAAATCAACAAAGCAATTGACGGCTCTTAAAAAAGCTGCAAGTCTTGTTTTTCTTTTTGTAAAAATTAAAAATTTATACATTCTCAACAAATATTTAGTTTAATGTCAAATTTGAGGAACTTTTGTTCATTCCAAAACATTTTTTGGCGGGAACGTTTTAGCCACAAACCATTTTAGCAAATTCATCTTTAGCATGTCCACAAATTATTGCACATATTTTTTTTGATATATTTGAATTTATTATTTTCACAAATGTTTTATTATTGTTTTGTTTTTCCTTAATAATTATTACTTAACGTTTTACTTACTTCTATGGATGCACAGGCCATCGCTTGAACGGTAAGCGGCGCCGAAGAAATCTTATGTCGCTCGAAAATATTTTCCAGTTTCTCAATTTGTTGAGTTAGGCAAAAACGACAAATATCTTTGGTTTTTAAATTATTTTCACGTTCAGACATATTTGCACTCATTTTGATTAAATATCAATTACTAGTTATTTTTTAGAACTTTCGAATATTAAATTTTAAACAATAATATTTAGCAATTTGCACTTTCTTTGCGACAATAATAATAGCGTATATTCGAGTATGGATGTTGGCTTGGGTGAGACATTCGACAATAGATTTTCACGTTCGAATTTAATTTCGAAATTAGTAAATTATTTAGGTAATGTGAATGGTTTCGATTGCTGTCAAAACTAAATGCACTATTGTGAATTGATTTTATTTTATTGTGGAATAAAATCTACATGTAATTTGTATTTTATATTTATTCAAAATTTTATAATAAATATTAATAATTATATATATTTATTTATTTAAATAATTGCACATAATGTTATATACAATTATATGCAATTAAATATATTATCTATGCATCAGTGCTATAAACTTAATGTAATTAATTATATATATACACGAAGTATAAAAAAAATAATAATAATTTGGCAATATTCGAAACAGCCAAAAGTTCAATTATTTAAAATAAATTAAAAAGAGTTTTTGTTGTTGTAATTCAGTTACTTTTTGAAACCTCTTTACTAAAAATAAAAATGTAAAATATCACGACATACAAAAGGTTTAAGAGATTATTTAAATTAAATCAATTGCACAGTTGATTAAACTGTTGATACTTTGGATGAGGAAAATGTATAGTTAAATTGATGATGCATAAAAATGTCATAATAAATATAATAATATTGTCAAAATGGCACTCACGAATGCATCTACACTGTCTAGAGTTTGGCAAGTTTTTTGCAAAGATTCTTACTTTTTCACTAATACAAACAAATTTTTGTTTGCAGATGAAATTCGAAAATTACACAAATACGCATTCGAACATAAAGATGGTATCAAAATCTAGCCAGTGTAGATATCAAGTAAAGCTACTTAAAATCGGGAACAGCTGTTTAAACTGTTGCTATTTGGAATTTCCGGTTTATATAATTTATTTTAAGTGTGATGACTTTATTGTCTTGTTTAGTAATATTTACTCCAAAATAGAAGACGTAATTGAATATACTTATTTATTTTAATAATTAAATTAAATTAATTAATATCTTTCCTATATCTTTCGGTATTATTTCTATTTACATTAAGGCCATGTGCGAGTTCGAGTAAAGTGATGATAAATTGAGGAAAATAGTAAAACCGCTAA